ACGTAGCTATTACATATTGTATCACAATATGTACAGAAAAATTCAAAGTTACATTTTTGATGTTTTTATTGATGATAAATCAAAAACAAGAATTTTGGTACTATATTATTCCTCCCGCTACGTTTCAGACAATAAAAATAAAGAAAAAGAGCGTTGCCACATTAAAGAGTACATTATAACTAACCCGGCAAATATAATTTTATTTGTGTGGGTTCGCTGGTTCAAGAGTTATTACAACTTGAGCTTTCTATGTTTTTACTATTAAATTATCGTTGACCAGCGCTAAAAAATCTTGATTATTATATGACCTGCACTATATTTGTAATTAGACTGATGTTGTACACCCCAATCAATTGTAACAAATGAGAAATATCTCATGACCCGTTCAGCAATTTATAAAACGTTTTAATGAAGATATATAATCGTTAGTCATGATCACTGTCTCGAAATATTTTTCAATTGAGTTAATCATCTCTTTTATATGATTTTGGCCAAATTATTATAAATGGTTAAGATTTATCACTAACGTTGATCTTTTGAAATCCTATTTAGAATTGTCAGCTTGTTCATAGTATTTGCTGCATTAGTCTAAACCAATCTTGCCAATAGAGCAACGGAGGGAACGTCGATGTTACATGACTGATCCTTCACCCGGTGTGCAACATATAAAAAAATTATTTTACAATATCAGATCATTCCGCTAGTACATGTTATGATTATAATCCAACACCATTTTTATTATAATAAAATGGTAATACTAGCGGAATGATCTGGCATTGTAAATAATTTTCTTATATGTTGCACACTGGGTGAAGGATCAGCCATGTAACATCGATGTTTCCTCCTGTTCAATAGAGTATTTTAATTCATTGAATTGAACAATCGAGCATTTTTTCTTACATATAAAATTTAAATAAATTATTAAAAAGCTAAATATTTTTTACAATAATTAATATAGTTTAATATTAAATAATGAGAATTACCGGACCGGTAATAAACTTATCTGGTTCATACATTATAGATCCGTTCCAAACAGCATTCTAATATAATGTTGTACATGAGACAAAGTTGAGACATTTTGGATTTTATTTTTTTTTTAAAAAAAAAGGCTAATAAGTAGCTCAGAATAGCCGCTTTTGGAGACCAAATAAAACATAGATAAATTCTAATTTTGCATATATTTATACTATTATTATTTTAAATAACTTTATAAAGGTTGGTATATTATTAGGACGGAACTAGACAAGGTCAAAAAGGCAAAATATACAATATTAGCTTAACGTTATAAGTTTTGATGATACCAGTATTCATATTCTTTATCAAAAAGTGATAATAGAACATCCATATTGTCAAGAATGTATATTTGTTAGAACATCGAAGAAGATTGGAATCAAGAAATATTTTTATTTTTATTTTTATTTTTTCCAGATATGCATGGGTTTAAAAAAATTGAATAATGAGACCTAGTCTAGTGTGACCCACTTTTGATAGGCCTGGCCTGCCTTTAACGATAATTTTTATATTTGCAGGCCATTGTCATGGGATACAATTTTTATAAGAAAAATAGGATGTGATGCGTTGCGTGGGGAGATTGATTAGGAAGTAAGCGCATGACATATCTAGAATGGACATCAATAGACGTTATGAATTTGTGTTAATATATTATTGTGATAAAGGATGGAATTGTACGTACATATTTTTTTAAAAAAATTCCCATTTTGGAAGTTTTTCGGTTAACATTCTAGTTTAGGCATGGTGCACTATGTTGGTTGGATTTTCAATAAATTAAAAGCTATATAAATGTCAATAAGGTTGCGTGGTGTAATGGTTAGCACCCAGGACTCTGAATCCTGTGATCCGAGTTCGAATCTCGGCGTGACCTTTTGCACTTTTTTTTTTGAATTATGACAAGTGATGGTAATGACCCAGTCATTTGGACCAAAATTTAATTATATCCAAGTCATCAAATAATGACCGGCCCTTGAGTTATTAAAATCATTTAGGTCATTTACGCATGGAATAATTTTATTGGTCGAATAATCAATATAAAAGGTTAACGAGCACCATTACTTCTCTAGTCGATCATGGCTATATATAAAAATCCAAAATTTACTAATTAACGTTAACGTTACTATTTGTGCTTTAAGGGATGACAAATTACATAAAATATAAAATGAACTAGTAGTAACCTGTCGCTTTGCTGACAGAGTAAAAAAATAAAGAAACAGTTATAGTAGGATAGTGTAAGGCAAAGAATATAATGTCTATAAGATTAAAAAGAGTAATGAGAAAGATTAGTATAAAGGTAACCATCTATATTGTGTAAAAACGATACGTGGCACATGACTTTATGATGCATTAATTAAAGTTGGGGGGAATTATAGGGAATAACAACTGACACAGCATACACGTGATCTAGTTTCCTAATTTTGCTATATTCTAACACTAACCCTAACTATAGTGCTGGTCATGCTGTGTCGTTAAGGTTAGTGCTTGTCATTAACTGTGTCGATAAGCTGTGTCGGTAGTTATTCCCTTAAAGTTAGGAGAAGGTAATTGGATACGAAGATGAAAAATTTTTAAAGAATAGTTTTTATAAGCATTTATGTTCCGTTAAATGATAGCGGCTTAGTCGATTCGTGAAAAAAGCATTTTAAAGATATGTATAGTTTGTTAATTAATTTTTATCGAATTGTAAGTTTATTATTTGAATATCAGGTTAACAGTATGTTTGATAAATGTTATATATAATTTTCGGATCGGGGTACTGAATTATTGATCGTGCACGCAATTAAGTGCAATCAGGTGACTTTAATTAGATGATAGATGGGTTAGTTACAATTTTTTAATTAATTGTAAGTTTTTTGGGCATTTTATAAGTAATAATAATATCTGATCCGTTGGAAATGAAGTTTTCGCTTATTACATACGGTCAGGGTATTATTAATTAATTCTCTCGTGATTTTGATATAGTAATCGGGGGATTTGTATAATATAATTTGCTGATATTTGAGAGAAAATTATAGTTATAAAAAGAATTTTATGTTTTTTTAATAGTTGCATTAATTATATGTAAATGATTTGTAAGAAAATAATTGTGTAATAAGTTAATTGTAATTGAATTCTGGTTGGGCAGGTTCGGATATAACATATTTTGAGAAGGGTTAATATTAATTAAAAAGTGAGTTCGTTATCAAAAAGATAGTGATGTAAATAAAAAAAGCGGTGAGAATATGAGTAATAGTGTTTTTTTATTTATTTTAATATTAAATAAAAAATTATGTACAAATAGTATGTAAAAAAGAAAAATGGCGGTGGTTTAATAAATAAAAAGGGGAAAGAAAGGTATAAGTATTTTTCTATATATAAAGTTAGAGTGATTAACAAATATGTAAAAATTTTTAAAATGTATCTAATAAGTAAAAAAAGAATTGGGGAAATAAAAAGCAGGATAATGCAATTAAATAATAAGAATGTGCTTTGGAGATTAGTTTAATGAAATACTTCAGGATAAACAATATTCGATGTGAGACTATGTTTTTCGTGATTTTTGTATGTAAGAATTTTCATATTGGCTGGCGAAGTGACTCTTGAACATGCAACATAGAGTTGGCCGTGAGAAAATACTGAAGCAGGAAGATATAAGCCTACGTATTGTAAAGTTTGACCTTGAGTTTTATTAATTGTCATAGCGAAAGCTGGTTTTACTGGAAATTGACGACGGTTGAAACTAAAAGGGAGAGCAGTGTTAGAAGGTGACATTGTAATGTGAGGAATAAATACTCTACTTCCAGAATGGTTTCCATTAATAATTTCTGCTTCGATAACATGTTTGTGAAATGACCTACAAATTAACCTAGTCCCGTTACAGAGACCATCAGAAGGATGAATATTACGCAATAACATAATTGGAGTACCAGGTTTTAAAATAAGTTTATGAGGAGGCAAGCCTCCAATGGACAAAGTATGAAGAAATTCAACAGGATACAAATTTTCAGCTTCAGTTTGTTTTTCTATGGTGTCAGCACTAAGATATTCACGATTTTCACCGGGAAAGTTATTTATAATAATATTATTAATTACATCGACATCGTCATTTTTTGGTGTAAGCAAAGCATGGTCAACCAGTTGTTGGGAAGTAGAATTAACGGAAAATTCAGGATATACAAATCGGACCAAGTTATTCAAGTCAGGAGTGGATAATACAATATCATTAGGAAGTCGTATAGTAGGTTCTTCTGGTGTAATAGTAGGAATGCGTCCTTCACCAAGTTTAAGAAGCCAATCAGCAAAATCGGCAAGCTCAGTAAAATTAAAAGTGTTAGTAGTACAATTAAGGCGCATATTAATTTTTAGCTTCATAAGCTGAACATGTTGCCACAGAGGTGATCATCATAAACAGGATGCTACAATTTCTTCTCTACCACCTTTTACAACAACAAGAAGAATTTGGCGAAAATCTCCACCTAATACTATAATTTTACCTCCGAATGGTTTTTCCTCTAAAGCTGGGTCAATAGCTTTCATGAGATCTTTTAAAGTACGATCTACGGCTTCAAATGCATACCTATGCATCATTGGAGCTTCATCCCATATGATAAGTTGCATTTTTTGAAGAAGTAAAGCTAGATCAGTGCCGTGAGAAATTGAACAGGTAGAATCTTCATTTAAATTAATAGGGATCTTGAATCTTGAATGAGCAGTTCTACCACCTGGTAAAAGAAGAGCAGCAATCCCGGATGAAGCGACGGCAAGAGCAATTTGCTTATTTAAGCGAATTTTCGCAAGTAAAATACTAAAAAAGAGGTAAGAAAAAATATCGGAATAAAGTAAAAAAGGCTATAAGTTAAATAATTACTTGTATAGAAAAGTTTTTCCAGTTCCGCCTGGTCCATCAACAAAAAATATAGAAGAACTTTGATTTTCAAGGGCAGTTATAATTTTTTCAAAAATGAATCGTTGATCAGTATTTAAGCAAGGGACTCCATTTTCGACGATCTGCGTAAGGTCGGCAATATTATAATTTAGTTCTTCAGTAATTAGATTATTATGGTGTTCTGAGTTGGGAAGGATAGTTGGTAATGGCATTTTAGGAAAATCAGTAAGACATCTTCCATGCTTATTTAAGATAGATTGTAAATGTAATAAGGCTTGGTTAAGAATATTAGTATCTGTAAGTGTAGTAGTAGTAGTATTATGAGCATGAAAACGAAGATCATCAGTAAGAGCTGAAAAATGTTTCTCCCAAAGGTTCTCCGGATATACAGGGTTGCAGAATAGTAGAATAGTAGCAAACAAAGTACGTAATTGGGCGCCGGACTGTATCTGAGCTGCTTCTAATAAACAGAAATCCCATTTGTCATCATTCTGTAGTAAAGATAACGCAGAGCAAGCTTCTTTGAAAGTACTATATTTGATTCAATTTACAGTGCGAAGATGTTTGAAAGAAGTCGTGCCACAAACTACATTAAGCAAAAGTCTTAACTAGTAATGTTCATCAGCTGAAGGGTGAACAAAGTACATACGGCCAATAACATTGCCACGTTGCCTTGGTTTCCATTTATTGGTTTTTTTTTCAAAAACCCAGTGAGTCGGAAAATTTCCATATGTTAGTGTTCTGGCTTCGGGATAAGAATTATTAGCATGAAACCAAGCTGTGAGTGTAGTTTTTTCTGAATTAGCGCGTTCAATCACATTTTGTATGACTTCATTATCTCGAAATGTTACTCTATGTTGTCCTGGGAGGTGAACTTAAAGGGGCATAACAGCAGGATTTCTATCATGTAAACGGTAATGGAATAATCGCCATGAAGCTTCTGATGCTGAAACGTAGCGAGCATCAAGATAGAGACTTATTTCATCATTATCAGTAGACTGCAGATGTTGAATATTTTGGGTTGTAATTTTTATAGTAGCCCAGTCGTGTCCTTTATATATATACTTAAAGAGATATTTTACAGCAGTAATAGACGAACAAATTTCTACATTGATATGACAATTATATCTAGTAGAAAGATATGGATT